ACAGATGAACTTGAAATAAATAGTTTTGTACATTCATTCTTGAGGAAAACTACAAGCAGGTCTACACCAGCAGTATAAAAACTAATTTCTTACAAGAAAGGCAATGATTTGTACTAAAACAGCCAACAGTACCTTACTTAATGCAGCTATCTGTTTTAAAACAGGAGCACCACTTGCACCTGGGTGGAGGGCAGATGCGGGAGGACTTTGGGCAGTCATGCCTCACATTGGCTGTTACTTGAGGGTCATGTGCTGCTGCCTATGGCCACATCCCCCCTTTGGCTGTGGAACATTGGATGGAGTGGGCCCAGGGGGCTTCCCTTTGTTCCATGTTATCTGTACTGTGAGAGTTTACTTGGACAGCTGCATCAGAAAGCACACTGAATGACTACACAGATGTGCATTTTGATATGGACATATTGTATAGAAATATTGTTTTCTAAATTCACATGCCTTCTCCTGTGCTGACATTCTGTGTCTCTGCTTCCTGTTGCAGGCCCCAAATGGTCTAGTGTGAGACCAAATGGCCTGAACTACCTAATAGCCATGCCATATACCCACATTCCTTAACACCTATCTGCTAAGAACCAGACTTCAGGGCTCCTAGCCTACATGGAACATGTCACGTACACCATGAAGAAAGCTGGAGCTTGGGTCACCTGACTGCAGGCGGGGCCCCAAACTCCTAGCCAATACCCACACGCAGCTATAGCAACCATCAATTGGGCACACACCCGGTCCGCTCGTTATTGGCTGATGGCCACAGCTAATTATGACTGGAATTGGGGTATAATTCTGTGGTTCCCTATGGAAGAGCTCTCTTGCAGCTCTTGCTCTCTTCTCTCCTCCTGCTTGTTTGCTTTATTGCACCTGGAATGCTGACTTTTGGAACAAAGAGCAACCTTTTTGTAACTGTGAAGCTGTATCTCTGAACAGACCTGAACTACATGCTTGAGCAAGATGGGATTTCTCTTCAAAATCCCTTGGTGTCAACTTGTGTTGTTATCCCATGGACTATCTTGGACTATTGACACTTAATTGGTAACTATGAATCTGTTTAATGTGTAGTCAGGGCAAATAGCCATAGGTTTTTATTGTTTTCAGTATCTTCTAGTAGTCTGTTTGCTATGCTTTATACTGAATAAAGATCCTTCTTATTTCTAATTGTGTGAAGGTATACCTGAACTCCAAGGCTAAATCTTGTGTCTAACGCTGACCACACAGAACTATCACTCTGACTGTAATGTGTAAGTCCCAGATGCCAACTAAGGGTTTGAATCTCTTCCCTTAGGCAAAGCAGGGAACTCTTAGAAAAAGAGTCTAGACTATCTCGTGGTTGTTGTTTAATGTGCTGAAAATGCAGGGTTCCCTCGCATTCCTGGACTGGACTGAGTGGGTTAATCCTGTACACATGTACACATGCCAGATATAAGCAGACTCTCTGAAAACACTAAATGCATTTTCAGCAAAGTGTAAATAAATTCAAAGAAGACAAACTTTACAATAGATGGCTATTATTAAAGGAGATTTAAAAACTCCAAACTACTTATGAAGCAATTTATTCAATTATGCAAGGTCAGAAGTAGGTAAAAATATAGCTGTGTTTACGAACAATGAATGTGTTAGATCAGTGGTTCCCAACCTATGATCTGCAGACCCCTGGGTGGCCATGGACTTATTGCAAGAGGTCTGCAAAGCCCTCCAGCTTGGGCAAGGTTTCTGACTCCCCTGGCTAAGCTACCCCACTTGTGCTGGGCCAGTCGCTGGCTGGCCTTCATTTACCAGCCAGTTTGCCACAGGACAAGCACACTTCCCCAACTGAATCTGCCTGCTCCAAGCCCCCATCCAGGCAAAGCAGCATCAGCAAGAGGCCCCCAAGTGTGCATCTGCCCAGTCAGGGCTGCTCGTCTACTCTAGGGGTGTGCACCAAAAAGAAAATCTGATTTGGCTTCTAGGGAGCCCGAATAATGCTGTATAAGCATTATGGGGGGGTTCAGTCTGGCCGAGCTGAATGCACATTCCTAGTCTACTCACAAGAACAACCATTCCTTGCAAGAGGCATGGGTGAGACATATTGGTTCCCATTGCCCACTCACCTCCCATGTCCAATGACAGCTGGAAATACCTGTGTTTTGAATAAAGGCAAGAGACTGAGGCTCTTTAAGGAGCCACTGTTTAGCCAGCAGCTTCCTTGTGCACCGATCAGTTGGCTTCCCTGGTCCCTCCCATGTCTCCACTAGCCCGGGAAGGCCCAGAGATGTATCAGGCAGCTGTCAAGCTTCAGTGGGGTGTGGTACTTCCCTCTCGATCAGTCCAGGGCAGCCTGATAAGTACGGGGGAGGTGGAGTCATGCCCAGACTTGGGGGGGGGTCATGCCACCTTTACAAATGCAGCTTCCCCACCCATTATTATAATTTTCTAAAATACCAATTTGATGAAGGCAACATCATGTGCCTGTATCTCATTTGTTCTTAAGCAGCATGTTCCTGTGAAAAGCAAATTGTGAGGCAAGTAGGGTTTTTAGGAATCAGCAAAAAGCCTCTCTGAAGTACTAGAGCTCAAAGTTGCTATATGTGAAGCACTGAAGAATGTGTCCAAAATACATTTCTTGCCCAGTCACAATACACTGCATTTTAAAGCATTCTTAAATTACGATGGCTGTTTTGATTTGGAGGTATAAGGTGCTTTGAAGTGCATCAGGGAGTTCCTAGGATCCTGGCAGCCATTTATTTTCCCAGGGAAGAGAGCCATAAAATACACCAAGAGAGCAGAAATGGATTTCCACAAAGACATAACTATTTGCCTACCTGTTAGGGAGGGCAGGATGGATAGCTGTCGTAAAATATGATCTGGATATTGAGATGTATGGGATGTGCACCTCCCCATGTGGGAGAACTGCCCTAAATCTAGATTGGGAAGAGGTTTCCCACCAACAAAGGCAGAAAGGTTAAAAGACTACTAACATCCACTAATCTTTGTTCAAATGCTGCAGGTTGAATTCCCCTGGAAGGAGCAGGTGGGGTCAGGATGTATATTTGTTCCACAGACATCTGGGGGGAGGGGTGTTGGAGGTAAATCTTCCATGTTAAGATTAGCTTAGTGTCATATTTTTCCACTATATTTATTTGATCTGTAAGCCAATAGGTGCAATAGATTTTTTCCCTGTCTTGTGCTATAGCATAAACTACAGTAATAACATATTTTCCTGTTTAAGAGAGAATACTGAGATTCAGTTCCTTCCTGTGTGTCTTAGATCATTCACTCATGCTTAGACAGGGAAGTGCTGGAGTTATTGGGAAACTCTGCCCTTTGTACTTGCTCAGAGGCAACCTTTACTAGCGTTCCACAAGTCATTGGTAGAATGGGAGTCCAGGGTCATAACCAGGGGTTATGGCACAATGACAAAGAATATGCTTTACATACACATGAACACGCAACACACACAACCCACATGTAAGAATACATAAACCCAGGGCGTGTTTATGACACTGTTAACTTCTGAGTAGAAATAAACCACTTAATTATTCTGCCTAATTGACATGCATGTGAAGTGAGCTGTAACTCAAGAAAGCTTATGCTGGAAAACATTTCGTTACTTGTTAAGGTACCACTGGACTTCTCATTTAAATTGCCACCTTGATTAGCAATCACCACCTCATCAGCTGTGGAAAAGAGCTGCGGCTTAACACATGTATCCAGAGATATAACAGCATATTCCTCCAACCCCAGCGCCATCTCTGAGAAACCTGTGAAGTACTTAATGCCTCTTCCCACAAATGGTTGTGAATGTGGATTTTCTGCACTTCTTGCATTGAAATGGAAATGCCAACACAAGTCAGTTGTGGAACCAGATTTAAGGTTAAACCTTTCATTGGTTCAAACAGATTTGCACTTTCTGAAAGCTGTAAAACAGCACCAGCAGCCATCTCGTCAAATGACTTGGTAAGAAAAATAAGCAAACATACCTTCCGTAGACTTGAGTAAATATTTCTTGCACGTATATGTACAACCAGGGCTCTAGTCGGGGGGGAGCTCTCAGGTACGGAGCTCCGGAAGAGAACCTCTAGGGGGCGGGGCGGTCACGTGGTGAAGCCCCGCCCCCTTCTTTACCCCGCCCTCTGCTTCGATCCTCATTCCGTTTGGGAATGAGGATGAAGCAGGAGGGTAAGTAGCCGGGCCTTCTGACACACTTCCGGTGATGTCAGGGGGTGTGGCCTTCTGTCACTTCCGGTGATGTCAGGGGGCGTGGCATATGCAAATAAGTTATGCTAATGAGTTATGCTAATGAGCTCCGGCAGCTCTTTTTCTACAAGACCCCTGTGTACAACTATTTTTCAAATGTATGTGGATGCTGTTGTGATTAATGAAATACAAATGCATTTAAAGGTGTTACTGAATTCACTGTACCTTTTTGTCATTATGTATTCTCTCAATCAAAGGATACTAATAGTACAACTACAATCACGCAGGGACCCGCAAGAATTTTTGATGTTAAAAAAGGATCCTCATAGTCATAAAGGTTGGGAACAATTGTGTTAAATGATGTATCATAAAGGAAAAATGGCCAGATACAGATAATCCTGGAATATACAGGTGTCTAGTACAATTTATTGCAGATGTTGATATATGACAACACAGTATATGAATGTATCTGCAAACAGATTATATTTGTCAGAGATATACAGATTTGGGAAGATAAGCAATGCATAAAATGTAAGATCATCTTTCAAGAAAGCAACAGAGTTGCTTTCCCTTTAATAGTCTCAAGTCATTTTTCAATATCAGCACTTTATGCCATCACCATTTTTAATATTCCAGCAGTCTGAATTCTTCATTTGTAATTTAGGCTGCAGTCATATCAAATGGAAAGGCTACTGTTCCTTGGCAGGGAATTTTATTATGGAAGTGGCAATACATTAGGGCTTTGCACAAAAGAGTAACAAACAACGTTAAAGGAAAGAATCATTAACAGATTTGTCAGGAATCAAGTTAAAACTTACTTTTGCGAAGGTCTGCAAAACATCTATGCCAGGTGGCAGCTGAGAAGTATCTTGGATCTCCACCTTCAAATACAGCTGCAGTGCCCTTGTGAGACACCCAAGACCTTCTTGCATTTCTTCAGTTAACTTTTCAAAATCTTAAGGGAGATAATATACAGCCAGGCATTAACAGAATATTCTGCCAACATCTTTGAACTTTCCAGTGGCTGTCGTAAAATATGATCTGGATATTGAGATGTATGGGATGTGCACTCCGGGTTGATTGGGAGATTGGGGTTCACCTCCCCATGTGGGAGAACTGCCCTAAATCTAGATTGGAAAGAGGTTTCCCACCAGCAAAGGCAGAAAGGTTAAAAGACTACTAACATCCACTAATCTTTGTTCAAATGCTGCAGGTTGCATTCCCCTGGAAGGAGTGTGTGTGTGTGTGTGCGTGTGTGTGTATACACACATGCACACACATACTAGCCTGATACCCGTGCTTCGCTACAGTATTTAACTTCCGTAAATCCAGTTATAATACTGATGATGGAAAGTTTGAAATGTAACATTTGTTGTAGGAATTCTAATGGAGAAGACTGTAGTGTAAAAAATGAAGTGAGACATACATACTTTTTTTTCTCTACTGAAGGACCTCTCTGTAGACTGCTGGGCTGGGCTCCCTCATGGCTTTAAGCACCCTGCAACCGCTGCTGTACTTGACAGACAACCGCCTGTTAGGTGTAGGAGGTGGGGGGAGTGTGTTGGAAGCCATCAGAGAGGCTGGGCCAGCAGCATCACTAAGGAGCACTCTCCTCGAATTTGGTGTCTCTAGGTCCAGGGGTTTGGCCTGGGCATTGATTTTACAGTGAGGGGACTCATATATATAGCGTGAAACTGCAAAAACCAGCCAGCTGAATACATTTAGCCATAAGAACAATAGTTAGTATTCTGCAAAATATCTTCCTCACTGAGAGATGATGAATGGTACTGATTTCTTTCTTCAAATCAGTTCTCAGACAATACAAACACGTGTTTAACTTAACAGCATAAAGTTCATAATCAGGCAGTGCCTTGTAGAGGAAGGTGCCCTCAATGTGATGCCCATGGGTGCCATGGTGCCTGCTGATACCTTTTCTTATGCCCGTCAAGTGTTTTTAAAAAGTGGGCATGGCAGATGGGCTTTTTTCTCAGCAGGGCTTCTGATTAGCCTTTGGATATCTGATTGGACGTGCAGATTTTAAAAAAATTGCTTTGGCAGCCTCCACCACCACAGCACCAGCACAGTCACTATATGACTGAAAACGAGCTGTATGTATGTATGTAAGAAAATATTTTTAAACCATGTGTTCCTTTTAAAAGGCTTCCTGTTAAACAGACCTTCTGCCTGAAATGCTGAATAGTTATTAGTAGATTTGTGTATGACCTTGCTCCCTGAGACTTTGTGGGTGACTCTGTCTCTTGTGACAGTCATTTTGTGGTTGTGCCAACCACTCTGTATCAGAATTCCAAAGGTGCCCACAGGCTCAAAAAGGTCGGGAGCACCTGTCTTAAGAGTTTTACCCTTAGTTGACACAATCCAAGTAAAACACAGAATTCATACATAGACTTTTAACTCAGTGAATTCCAAAAGTTAAGGAAAGAGGGTTAGCCACTGTTACATTGTTGCAGTGAACTTAAACAGGAGTTCAGGGTCACTTAGAGACTAACCACTAACAAAATTTCGTCCAGCATAATCTTTCATGAGTTATGAGAAGCATCTAATGAAGTGATCTATGCCTTACAAAAACTAGGGTAGTAGCCTAGGTTTACCAACCTGGAGTTTTCAATGATCTCTATACAACAAAGATCAGTTCGCCTGTGGAAATGGCAGCCTCAGAGGGCAGACTTTCCAGCAACACATCCCCAGTAAGCTCCTGCCCCCCAAATCCTGCCCCCCCAAATCTCTTGAAATTCCCCAACTGGAGTTAGCAATTCTCTTATGCTGGAATAAACTGTGTTAGTCTTTAAGGTGCCACTGGACTCCCATTTCATAAAGAGATCTATAATATCCTGGATCTCCCAAGGATATTTTTTTTTAAAGAGCCATTTGCCACCTTCCAGTTTCTTCAAGGGAGGCCAATTTTAGCATATTTTTGTTTTGTTTCTGAATTCCTTAACAACATTTTGTACTATCAAAATTCAATGACTTTTAAGTTTATAATCTGTCCACAATGACTGCCCAACATTTTCCACCACAGAAATCAATGGAGTTTTCTCTACAATCTTCCCATCTTCCTTTAGCAAGGTGAGTTTAAGATCTTTGGTCATAGAAGCTAATAAGCATAAGAATAAGAGGGAGAAAATATGGGCAACTGAAGGACTATGCATACTCCTCACTTTCCTGTCCAGCCCTCCCCTGTGCTTGGTGCAGTTTACTCATGTACTTGCATACTAACAGGTCCCATCACTACCTGTGTATGTAGGCAGGGCAAGGAGGAAAACAGGACTGGGTTAGGCTAATGGTTGCTGCTTTGATAGTGGGCTGGATGATGCTGAGTATTATGAAACACTGAAAATGTGTACTATGTTGTCAAGAGGTATGGGAGGGGGTTTCTGTCCTTGCTGTTAATTGTCTTTGGGAGGGAAGAACATTAAGGAAATACACTTTTCCCAGGAGAAAATAATGTCAACACACTCTTGCTTGCATAACTGCTTTACCCCCAGAATGACTCTTAACAAGTTCTTCCCTTATCTCTTTTCACATTTTAAGAGCAAAATATTATAAAGAATTGTTTAGCCGAAAGGATCAGAACAAACATTGCAGAATTTATTAACTTGTTTCAGAGTAAGGCAGGCAGTATTACCTTTACCAATCACTGAAACGAAGCCACCTCTGGCATGGAAACCAGCAACTGTTTAAAAGTGCAAGTTAGTTGAGGATATTTTCAGCTCAAGACAGATGCAAACAAGAATATTGTTCTCCATCTAGAACTTTGGGGAAAATTTAGAGGTTCAAAACCAGAAGGCAATTATCTGAACTGGAATTCAGCCAGGATGTCAGAATTAACCATTGCTGAGGGAGGGAAATGCCCCACAGGATTTTTCACAGCAATCAGAAGTGTAGCTTCCTATCAACTAAAGCCAAAAGAAATAAGAACTAAGATGAAATCACATAAATGAATTGTTTTAATTTTCTGGCTTTTAGAAATTAAAGTTGTTCCATTCCCTTGTCTCAAAGATGAAACACACTAAAAAGTGTAGCTATGAATAGTATATGAAGACCATTTTCACATGCGATACTAAAGCACCTTTGAGCCACTTTCCTACCATCTGTGCACATGTATAAATGTTTTTAATCAGGACAAAAGCAGAAGATAATGGTAATTAATACACATAAACTTTTATGTCCTGCTCAACTTATAAAACATATTTATAAAGATAGTGGTATATAGGTAGATTCATGCCATTGTAGCTTCCAGAAGCCTACTCCACCTACAAAATATAATGGACTCTACATCTACAAAATGCTTGGCAAAGTAAAGTAACAGAAGATGGCGGCTTGCTGGGAGCTTGGTGCCAGTTTAGCAGCTATCACCAGGTAGCACCAGCCTGTAGCTTGACTATCAGATAGCCTACCAGGGGGGTCGAGAAATTCAGCAAGACCAACCCTCTCACTCACCTCCGGTACAGTTCCCAGCGCGGCTCTGGCACAGCGCTGAGCTTTCCATCAGCCTGGACTGCGCAAGGCCGATGCTTGACTCTGCAGTCTTGCATGGAACACCTGCCACCACCGGAGAGACTGGCAGCAGCTATAGGAAACTACCGGCTTTGTTGCTCTTGCCTCTCCAGCGCTGGCGCCATTTTGGGGTTGGCGCAGGAACTGTGGCCTCCTTGTGGTGGCTGTGTGTGCCGTGGCTTTCTCAGTGCCCATTTCCAACATTCGTGCAGCTGTCGGGAAGCCCAAGGGGGAGTCTCCGCCCCCCCCCCCGGGTCTTCCCTGGCCAGTCCCAAAGTCATCGGGCAACGACAGTGTCGGCAGCTTTGTTTCATGGCCGGCAGTGCACCAAGAGCAGGAGCAGGGGATTCCAGCTGCGTTGGAGTCCTGTATTAGACCATAGCTCCCCAAGTTTGACAAGGTGGAAGTGGAAGGATCAAGATCAGAGAGGGGTGGTGAGCGTGGATGGGATATCGCCAGAACCTGAGAGACTGCCACCTGCAATACAACAATGAGAAGGGACAGCGAGACACACCCCTCCCATTGCAGCAGCTTCTGGTTTAGGCTGGGCTACAGGACTGGCTGGCAAGCAAGATTCTACTCAGACGATTAAGAATTTTGCTGCTGGCCCATAGGATTATTTAGTAATCCTAATTAAATTGGCGGATATTGATGTGATAATTAATTGGAAGTTGTTATTTAATTATGGGCTAATTAATTGTAAGTTATTAATTAATTATGGGATAATTAGTTTTCATTTGAACAGCTGAACAAAGTTTAATTAACTGATTAACTTGGGTGATTTAATGTATTTGGATTAACTATAAATTGCTTATTGGGTATACCGATTGCTTATGATGATGTATTAGATAGGTCTAGGAAAATTAGGAAATTTTAAAAAATTAATTACGTTCACTGAACTTTATGTAATTTACAGGTCAGATGATTTAGGGGTTCAGTGATTAGTGGCAATTATTAAGAACTGGGTTATAGGGTGGATAGGTTGAGCTAAGGGGAAGTGTCAGCAGCACTGAGTATTGTTAGGATAGACTAGATCTCAGGACCAACTGTACTGGAGAACTGCTTAATCAGTATCATCTTTTATATTCAGCCAGGAATCAGCCACTAATAGTCTGAGGCTAGTTAGCGAAGACCATTTACGGCTGATGGCTGACCAAGGGATAACAGTGCTCCTGGGGAGGGGAAAGTATTGCGGTGGGACCAGGCAAAAATTGAAAGGAAGGGAACGGAGATGTAGAAGAACTCGGCCCCCTTCCAGCCTGTGTCTAGTAGGTAGTGGGACTAGGATTACTGATCCCTCTCCAACATTGGTGTTATGCAATGCCAGGTCCATAAATAATAAGACCATGGTCCTTCATGACTTTCTGTCAGAACAGGTTATGGACCTGGCATGTGTGACCGAGACCTGGGTGTGAGACGGGGAGACTGTAGCTCTATCCCAATTAGCTCCTCCTGGTTTCTCAGTCCTTCACCAATCCCGGACTAAGGGGCGGGAGGGGGATGAGTGGCTTTATTCATATGGGAGGATTACACCTTCAGAGCGCTCCCAATGCCGAAGTTCACGGGCATAGAGTGTGCTGGCTTTGTGTGGGAAGCTGGGGAGAGTTTGGCGGTTTGGCTGGTGTACCGTTTGCCCAACACACCAGCAAATAGCCTGCCATCCCTGCTGGAGGCCGTATCAGGCTGGGCACTGGAGCACCCTAGACTGTTAATCCTGGGTGACTTCAATGTCCATGCTAATGACACCACCTCCACGCAGACAATGGACCTGTGTTGTTCATGGTGGCGCTAGGACTCTCCCAATATATTACAACCCCCACTCACTGAGCGAGGCACACACTCGATCTTTGCAGCGGTGGTTACAGTGGACCGAATTACTGCTATGGCAGTTCCATGGTCGGACCACTATGCTCTGAAGGCCCGTGTGAATATGCCACCCCGGCCCTGTTTGGGTGGCGAGTGCATTTTAGCTCACCCACGGAGCCCAATGGACACTATGCAGTTCCAAATGGCTCTGCAGGATCCGATGACCCTGGCGGCTCATTGGATGAGCTTGTCGAGGACTGGCAAAACCGACTCTTGGCAGCCATCGATGAGATCGCTCCCCGACGTCCTCTGTGGCCCCATTCTAAACTCACTCCATGGTACACACAGGAATTGAGGTTGATGAAGCGGGAGCTTAGATGGCTAGAGAGACAGTGGTGACGTGCTCGCGATGAAGTGACAATAGCATCCTATAGGACATTTATGAGATCCTATGAGATGGCAGTCAAGACCGCAAAAAGATAATATCACGCCGCCATGTTTGCGTCTGCAAGCTCTCACCCAGCCCAATTATTTAGAATAATTTGGTCTATTACTACGCTGCCACAGGGCAGATCAAATTATAAGGAATTGGAGATTGGGTGTGAGGCCTTTGCGAGCTATGTTGCAGATAAAATCTTGTCGCTCCACCACGACCTCCCCGCCACAGTTGAGACAATGACAGAACCTGAGGCTCCATGCGCGTCTTCTTGTCAAGTTCTGGATTACTTTCAGTCTACTCAGCCTAGAGGAGGTTGACAAATTACTCTCATCTGTTCGCCCAGCTAGCGATGACAAGGGCCATGGCCTTCTCTGTGGCAGCACCATACTGATGGGAATGAGCTCCCGGATGACGTCAGGGCCCTGCGGGATCTTTTACAGTTCTGCAGGGCCTGTAAAACGGAGCTCTTCCACCAGGCTTTTGATTAGGGTGCCGCCTCCTAATGTTATGGCCCTGGCCCCAACATCAGCACCGATTTAATTTAATATCTAACAGCCTGGCGGGAGCCCAGACTGTGGTGGTAGCTGACTGCTTGGATGCTGAGAGCATACCGCCATCACTTCTTAGTACTTATTGACATCTATGGTACTGGCACGTATGATTTTATATGTTGTGGTTTTACTTATTTAAATACTGTGCTTTAACTCATTTGTGTGCGTGTGTGTGTGTGTGTGTGTGTGTGTGTGTGTGTGTGTAAAACACGTAAGCCACCCTGAGTCTGCCTTCAGGGTGGGATAATGCCAACTCTATTTGCCCGCACTAAGGTCCTTTGATACCTGTTTTGTACCACCAGTTATTATATACTCCGGTTCTACTCAACCCCAGTACTTTACAGTTGTCCTCAAAAAGAAGTAGTGGCACAATATATACCAAAAGAGGTAAACATTTACAAAAATAATTTTGGCATTTACTTACTTGACTGAAGATCACAAAAAGAGTAAAGCTCCTCAGATGGGCATGTTGATTGTCTTAGCTATTGAGAACCCAAAAATAATAAGGATAAGCATAAAATAATAAATAGTTATTTTAAAAAAACCTCAGCTAATCCCAACACTGCACCCTTGTGCAGAAAGTAAATATACATTACTAAAGACATTCATTTTTGTTCACATTTTTGAAGACACTGACCCTTTCCAAAGGGCCGGCCCGAGGTTTTTTTGCGCCATAGGCGAGGCTACCTTCTGGCGCCCCCCCCGGTGCGCCCACCAATTACAGGGTTGCCAACCTCCAGGCAGGGCCTGGAGAGGAGCGTGCGCCACAGGAGGTTGCAGTCCGGGCAAGGCTGAGGGGCCTCCCTCCAATCCCGGGGGGGCGAGGGGGGAGCCCAACTCTCAGGTGACATGGGGAGGTGGCTGCTTCCCTGGCGCCTCTCACAGGAACGAGGCAAGGAACGCCGGAGGGGGGAAAATGACTGCGGTCACACACACACACCCGTCTGAACCCTCCCCTGTCCTTGTGGGCCTTCTGGAAGAGCAGCCGGGGGGGCTCCCCTCGGCGCTGTGTCTCGTCCTCCTTGCAGGCCCACCCCCCAAGAGAGCCAGGCCCGCACAGAGAGCTGAACTGCGGAAGAGCAGCCAGCAGTGGGGCGAGCGGAGGAGTGGGCTTTTGCACGTGGCAACCCAAGCCAGTTTAAAGAGCCACCCTTTATCGTGACCAGGGAAGATTTTGGTGCTGGGCGGGGAGTGGTCTGGAGGGGTGGCGGAAACTCCCTGGTCTCCCCACGCCCAGGGCGCTCCTCTCTGCCCGGCTAGCCGGCTCTTGGATGCGTCTCCAGCTGCCTTGGCGGCTCTGCCTGGCTTGCCTCCTGCCGCCGCCGGTGGGGCGAGTCAAAAGCGAGCAGCAAGGCAGCAGTGGGACCAGTCAGACGGCAGAGAGCGGCGGCGGTGGCAGGAGGCGAGCCAGGCAGCCGGGCACACCCGGGCAGGCAGCGGCTGAGGCAACTTTGGTGCGCTGGTTCCCTGCCTCGGCGCCCCCTCCATACTCAGCCCTTCACTCCGCCTTACCCTGAACCTCCTCAGCTGCCGTGACCTCCGCCGGCTCGCCTGGCAGCACCAGCGCCGGCAGCGGCGCCAGCGGCCAGAGGAGCAGAGCAGCAATGGCACGCAGGCTTTTGGCACCTCCTCCCTGCAGTTCGGCGCCCCATCCAGGTCCTGCCACCCCATCCAGGGCCCGGCACTCTAGGCGAATGCCTAGTTCGCCTAGCGGGTGTGCCGGCCCTGCCTTTCCACATGGGTTACCTTCCCAGGGATCACTGCTGTTGGGAAGCACCTCTCCAAAACATCATGGTGCATTCATGCACTTGTGCAGCTCCTGGGGTTTACCTGTATTTTCCCCAATCTTTTTCAAACATCCTTTACTAAGGAGTTTTTCGGAAAGATCACAGTAAAGCTTGGATGCCTGCTGTGTTGGTGGGAAAGTGTGGATTTTCCCACGCGCATGGCAGTTATTTTCCCAGTGGCCATTTTCTTTCCCCACCACTCAGGGACCTTTTTATACCAGTATGTGCAACTGACTCTCTGAATTCCCAGCTGTCACCTTTTTAAAAAGTAAGTCTCTAGCCCTTTCCATTGCAGAGATATCAGGGAAAGGCATACCTCTGCAATGCAAGGGGCTAGAGACTTAGGCTGCAATCATACATGCTAAATAATCCACTTTCAATCCACTTTCAGTGCACTTTTGAATTGGATTTTGCCAGTTCACACCGTAAAAGTCTAGTTGGAAAGTGCATTCAAAGTGTATTGAAAGTGGATTATTTAGTGTGTGTGACTGCAGCCTTAATCTTTTCAATGAAAGCTGGGAATTCAGAGAACCTGTTACACATATAACATTATATAACATATAACATTATATAAAATAACTGTATTCAACTGAAGATTTAAAAAAAAAATGAAAAAGCTCCAGTGGCCTGGGGGAGGGCCGCTGCTAGGGGACCAGGGCAAGGAAACTGCAGGGAACCAACAAACCAATCAATGACCAATCTAGCAAAAATTGAGATGGTTGTTACAAATTTTTTCTTCTTAATTCTCAACTTAAGTTGTTTTTTACTACTATGCTGCATTTGTGAGGTTTAAGAATTCATGGCTTAAAAGCTCACTTTGAAATTAGCATCAGCGGACCAATCTTCTGTAAAGTTTTTAGCTGTGGAAGTTTCAGAGCTACAGAGCAAACATAAAATTTCGGAAATGGCATCAGCCTAAGAACACGCTGCACAAACCTCTAAAGACAACCTTTAAGTGCACCCTTTTGAGCCATTACAATATTCAGAACAAGTTCTGAAGATGCTCACTCGGCACAAGAACAATTTACTGCTAAATAATACACCAGCACAGACTAAACGTTATAACTTGCTGCCTTTTAAATTTTATTTTGCTATCTTTCAATCTCCTTTTGCACTTTTACCCCAGTTCTAAAGTATGTATTCGGAATAATACACAAAAGAGTTTCCCCAAATGTCTGTGTCCACACACACAAAAAAGCCAGCAACCTAAAGTGACTTTTGCATGCATGTTAAGACATACACCATATGACCCATGATTATGTACATATCTGACCTCAATATGCCTGGACATATGCTGGCATGGAAAGGGACTTCACTTCATCAGGTAAATGTCTAGTCAGGTTTCAGGGGTCAATGGTTCTTTCACCCTGAACCCCCCTCCCAACTGTGATATCAAGCACAACAACAGTCACACCCTTCTAAATCCATTGACTTCAATGGGTATAACTCTGTTTAGGACTACACTGCTAGTGATATTGGAAAGATCGACTACCATTTCAACCAAGTCAGAGAATCCATCATTGTAAAGGTCAATCAAAAAGGAAAAAATTACTTACTAGTTTGAAAATAATCCTGCCAACAAGCCTCACTGAATCTGGGGGAAAGTTGGGATCAATATTCTTAATGCACTTGCATTCTCGTTTATGATCTTGCCATGCTTCTTTCTACAAATGGAAAAATTAAGAATTATTTTACACTATATGCATTAATGACATTAATTTAACAGCTCAGACAGACAAGACAAGATGGTGGTACCCTATTTCATGTATCGTTCCTTTGCCAGGGTTGTTAGTACCGTTAATACTGCCCTCTGGCCATCTGCATCAGTCTATATTAGCACTGGGTATTGCAGCACTGATCCTAGTCCAATAAAATTTGTAATCCTCTGCTCCAAATATTTACATTCAGTATTAATGTTGACTATCCCTTAGCTGCCTTCTGTGAAGTCTGTGAACTTCCCTGATTGGTTTTTTTTTTATGTCGCACCAAAATCTCTGGTTGAAGTTTTTAGGTATGGAGTCACATAGAGAGATAAAAAGGTATGCCTGACTATAATAACAACACAAACTATACATCAAGTTAAAAAAACCCTCTAAAAATTCAGTTTCTCGAATCCTAAAGAAACAGTCATGTCTGTAATCATTAGAATAACATCCTGAATAATAAAGCTGAACTGGCATGTTTTCCCTCCACTAACAAAAAATGTTCTTTGAAGCTAGCATTTATCTGACACCATTCCAAAAATAAATACTGGAAAAGATGTTCAATATGCTAGAAAAGACATCAAAATGATCCACATTGCTAGTAACATCAGCAGAGAGTGATGAAATGTAAAATGTAACATCACACAAATAACGTGTCTCATTCTTCTGATCTTTGCGGTGCATTTCACACTAGAAAGGCATTGGCATCACATTTTTATCATCTTATGCCAACTGGAATTCATTTGCAAGTAAATAATTATAGACTAGAAATGGGAAAAAAATTCCTGTTTTAGAGACTAGCAAGATTAATCCATACTTAAAAGGGGGCAAAAACTATGTGCTATTCTACTCTACCTAGCATGGAAACTGCTATTCTACTCTACCTAGCATGGAAAGTGTCCCTACATTCCCCAGTGGTTTACTTCCGCCTGCTTTTGCTTGGCAGATACTTGATTTGTGTTTGGCTAATGTCATGGGAATAATGATTCTTCTAAAATGAATTCTCTGGGGTAGGGGAGTACCCAGAAGTATCCCAAGAATTGCTATTCAGGTATCTTCTCCCAAGGATACTGAGATGCAGTGGGCAGAGTTTAGAAGACAAAAATTTCAGAATGTTAAAGCTCAGCAGTCAGTTTAAAACGAACAACATAACACTGCAGACAAAAAAAATAGTTCTTCACTACAGTTTTTGAAGAACAAAATACAGTGAAGTGTTAGTTCCATATTTGTACCATGCATGCAAGGTATTACTGAAATTCTAAGGCTAAAACTCAGGTGTTTATACACAAGGGCCTAGAAATCATGGAATAATGTAGATATATGACATTTTAAAAATATATGGTATGACCACCCTGTCCACTTCCCTCCTTCAGGCAAGGTTTTCCCTCCGTTTTGCTTTCCCTTTAAAAGAAGAGAGAAGAGAAGAAGAGATTGGATTTATACCCCACCCTTCACTCAGAGCAGCTTACAATCGCCTTTCCCTTCCCCTCCCCACAACAGACACCCTGTGAGCAGTGTTCCCTCTAAGCTGAGTTAGTGTGAGCTAGCTCACAGTTTTTTAGCCTCCGGCTCACAAATTTTTGTCCTAGCTCAGGAAGGATGGCTCCTGAGCAAACTCATTTATGCAGTAGCCAAATCACTCACTCACAACTTTAATGCCAGTAGCTCACAAAGTAGAATTTTTGTGCACAAGACTTCACCACTTAGAAGGAGCATTGGCCTGTGAGGTAGGTGGGGCTAAGAGGTCTTTCCAGAATTTTACTGACAGCTGCCCTAGTAATGTGTTTTCTTCTTTGCTGAAGAACTCTGAATGTCCCACCCTGACACAATACGGTATTTTGGCTGTGGGTTCAGCCCATGAGCCTGAGGGAAGGATTGGAAGCCCCCTTTAACGTAAACAACTTAAATGGCACTCAAGGTGTTTTGAAATTTAAAAATAACAAGATATTAATTTAACATAGAGGGGAAAAGTCAAGTGAAATCAGGGGCTGAAAATTTCTGAGGTAACTCAATATAGATAACTCTGAGGTAAAATTAGTACATGCACAGACTTTAGTTTTTATGTTTCAGGTTAATGAGAGTTTCTTAAGCTATTTACAGTTACTTAAAACTTTATGTTGAGAGGCTTTTGTTCCAGTGTTTTCCCAAATATTCCAGTAGACTTTCTTTGATATTCTCTGGCTCTTTTGATTTCCAGAAGGCTGGTATACTCTTTCCAGTACCCAAACCCTTTCTCTTGAAACACTAGTACTCGTCTTAAGTTTTTAACTGACTCTTAAGGTAACTAAAGGCCGTTTCCAACCACACCACACCAGGGATCTCTGCACTCTTCAGAGCTAACTCCCTGTTTGAGTGGGTAGGGAAATTCTCCCCTCACTAGATCTATCCCCTTTCCTTGGCCTGAATGGGAGTCTTCACTGACTTCCCAAACTTCCTTGCCAACTTTCCTCCAGTTCTCCGTCTGTGTTAAACTGCTCTCAGCTAAGACTGAAATCAGACTCAACTCAGTCAAGGCAGAAATCTGACTGACTCTCTCCTCAGCATGTAGCTCTCAAGTCTTTCTCTGCTCAGCTGATGCTAACCATTCAGATTGCAAGGAGCAGCCTGTCACTCAAGGTTCTCTGTTTCTGTGAAGAATTAACCTTTCACAGTCCTTTACTCTGAAGAGGTGAGCAGTGACTCATGAAAGTTCATACCCTATCACAAATTTTGTTAGTTTTTAAGGTGCTACTGGACTCTTACTCTTTTCTAGTCCTTTACTCAGTTTGTACAATACTTCTAAGCTTTTAAAAAGTGCAGTCCATCACACATAGTGATAGTTTTTGCTAGCCACAACAACTGATTTTATGGATCTTACGAAGATTTAACAATTAATGACAGCAGAGTAAATGCATAGTTAAAAATTCAAAATATTTGCGTTATTAATTTACAGTCAACTTCAGAACAATCATTACCTGACATTGTATATTGCAGTATCTTGCAATTTTGCACTGAGAACACCTAAGCAGTCGGTCTTTCCTATGAGGGGAGGTAGAGAAAAAAAATTAAATATTTTCTACATCACAGACAAATAAATTACAGATTAATGAATTCAAACTTCTGTTTTTCAGGAACGGGGGAACAGACTTCATAACACGCACCCTACATGCTTTGGAATTTACCATACAGCATTCTGGATTGTGGCTTTTAGTTCCATGAAACTGTGTTCTCAGCAACTACTAACAAAAGCCAATGAAAGAGCTTAATGCTTTTGTTTCGATTTTTAGACGTGAGGACTGCTGGGCTGAAAATTGCAGAGAAAGTTGTTGCCATAATGTGTTTGTATATATTATTTTTGGATTGTTGTAAACTGTGGTGAATGGGGTAAGTGAAAGAGGAAATTAAAGTGTAGGCGGTAAAAAACATGTCCTTGAATATTCACAACATCATTTTTGCAGGTCTGGTGACCATAAAGGTAATTACCTTTTAGAATATCTAACTGACAAGGAGGTGGCCTTGTGTGGATTATGAAGAGATACTCTCAAACAAAAGAAAAACGCCCATCTTGATGAGAATTACATATGCTCTAGAAGGGACAGAATGTCAAGAGGAAATGAATGTCAAGCCCTGTTCACATGTTATTGTGACAACACATACAACCTGCACATCCATGCATATACCTGTTCGCAAAAAAGAACTAAAGCTTCCAAATTTCCCTCACTTCTGCCACTCTTAGGGTTGCCAGACTCCAGTGGAGGTCCCCCGATACCATGACCTGCCCCCAGCTGCCCCCCCAGCAGAAGGACTTATCCGTGGAAAGAGAAAGGCTCAGGCTTTGTGGCTGGCATTGCATAGGAAGTGACATCATCATACCAGTGATGTCCAGGTGATATTCTGGTATTTGGGCAAAAACTCTATGGTAGAAGCCAGTTTTACCATAGAGTTTTGCCCAAATACCAGAACATCTCTTATATGTCGCTGGTGTGATGATGTAGGAGTTTTCCAGGATAATGACAAGATAATGACTCAGCCCTATCCCACCTTCCTGAGTAGATATAAATTACCTGCCTACCATTTTTCTTCTCACCTTGACACAGAGAGTACTCCATCTTTCTGTGTAATACCTCTGAGGATGCCAGTCACAGCTGCTGGCAAAATGTCAGGGACTACAATATCAAGACCACGGCCATACAGCCCGGAAAATCTACAACAACTAATGAACTCCGTGCATGAAAGCCTTCAACAACATAGCTTTGGCTGCGGGCACACGGGCAGGAAAATGCGGGGGGGGAGCGTGGCTGTTTGCCTCGGGGCTAGAAAACGCGTGGTTGCACGAGCAGACCTACCATGGAGGTCCCGTGGAGGTCCCGTGGTAGGGGGGAGGTGCCCATCACTCCACAGTCCTGCGGTAAGGCAAAGAAGTGGAGCGCGGGGCAAACGGGGTTGTTTTTTTTTAAAAAAAAATGCAAATGTGTGCATGCTCCCTTGGGTGCTTGTGCGCATCCGTGGAGACTTTGAAAAAAAAAACCCTTTTGCGAGGGGACATGGACGGGCGCCGGAACTACCACCGGAAACGCAATCAGATGCCCGTCCTTGTCCCGCGGTTTCAGGAAACTAGTACCTCCGAGGTACTAGTTTTTTACCGTGCATCTTCTGCGGGAAGCCTCAGGTTCGCCACAGGAGCGCGACGCTTCCCAGATGTGGCGGTGAGTTTGCGCCCGGAAAATCCGCCTATCTTCCGTCCCTCTAGCGTGCCTAATGCTCCGTGTGACCGCAGCCCTTTGTCTATTATTCACAAGATTGAGAATACCACAGTAAGTACTAGAAATACTTTTTTCCTTGGTTTATTTTCAAAATGTCTGCAAATCAAATACAATAGTTAACATAAATGGATCCTTTCATAGTGAGCTATTGTTCATTTTACAAAACAAAACCATAATATAGATTCAGATGGGTAGCCGTTTTTTAGTCCAGTGACATCATTAAGAACAACAGAGTTTTATTCAAGGTATAAGCTTTCGTGTACATGTACAATTCTTGAATAAAGCTCTGTTGGTCTTAAAGGTGAAACTGAACACAGATGTTGCTTTAAAACCATAACATTTCATTGCAAGCTAGAAGTCAGCAACCTGTGTTCCATACATTATCTGCCTTAAGCAATGTTCTTCCTGTGAATCTGCAGACACAACATGTCAAATCACCTAATGTCAAATCAGATACTCTGCTTCAGGGAGATTAACCCAACAATTTCTACCAGCAAAGGTGTCAAAAACAGGGTTGTTTTCTTGCACCCTTGCTTTTCAACTTTTTCCTAAGCGACCTTGCCCCCTTTTTAACCCAAGTGGATGACCATCGTTCCAAACTGGGTTCTACTAACATCCCAATTTTGCTTTATGTGGATGATGCGGTTTTACTGTCATGCTCCTAAGTGGGTTTGCTTTGCTTATTGAATTGCTTCCAAGAGCACTGCAAAATCAACCAATTAGAATTAAACTACGGAAAATCCAAAGTGCTAGTCTTCTCCAAATCTAGGAAGCAATTTACCTGGAAAGTAAAACACTTTAAGTACTTAGGTCTGCATTTTCAAGCTACTGAATCATGGATCCAACAACGTAGAGTAACAATAATGCTAAAGCAAATGTTAACGCACTTCTGCGTTTTTATTTTTCTGGAAGAGGGAACCAATATGTTCCAGCTGTGCTAAAAATCTTCAACCTGAAAACAGGTCCTCAATTACTCTACAGAGCCCCTATTTGGACTGAATCAATTAATAAGGCAGTTGAGCAGGTACATTCAGGTTTTCTACAGAAAATTTTGGGTATTCCTTCTTGTGTCCCGTATGAGGCTTTATGCCTAGAATGTGGCAAAAACCTTATGACTACAAGGGCATGGTTAATGTCCTTTAAGTTTTGGCTTCGATTACATTATAGATCTGATCCCTCTAGTTACAACTTCCAACTTCTGACTGAATCTAACTACTCCTCTTGGTTGGTTATTATTGAAAATAAATTACAAACACTGAATATCCCTTTCAAATCCTTACTCTTACTTTCTGAATTGGAGGCAATGCAAACAATAAGGGACAGGCTATTTGAGGCAGAGCTATTTGAACTGTACAATGCAGCTAATAAGACACGCTTCCCTCTAAGTCATTGGATATTGCCCACTGTGGGTCATCCTGCTAGCTATTTTCACCAACTTCAGACTCCAGCATTACGTAGAACCTTTTCACTTGCCAGGTTCAATGCTCTCCCTTCAACGATCTCAACTGGGAGGTTTAATAGTATCCCTTTGGTTAATAGACTATGCCCCTGTGCAAGCAGGTCAGTTTATTTATTTATTATTTATTTATTATTTCGATTTATATCCCGCCTTGCCACAGAGCTGGCTCAAGGCGGCTAACAACATTAAAACATTAAAACAATAAATACATTAAAATACAGAGTAAATGCAAACAACAACCATTAACCGTGCCAATGATGATGTTGAGTTGAAATCGTGTCTCACATGTTACTGGAATGCCATTACTATGCCAATATTCAACACCACATTTTATCATCACTACTTGGTGGTATCATAGAGCTTCCTGACTCACACAAATTGCTTTATTTGCTAAACAGGCTGCTCTTTTTATTCGTAGTACAGTATTGCAACACAAAACCTGTATTCAGGAGATATGAAATTGAGACTTGTTTTATATTGATTTTTTACTATCTTAGAACATTTTTTTCTCTTTGAGTAATATTCGTTCTTTATCTTATCTTTTCTATATATCACTCTTTTTAATGTCAATGCCAATAAAGGTAATTGAATTGAACATTGAGCTATAGCATGAAATTGCACTGTGCCTTGCATTTCTCAGTATAAAAGCATCCTGAACTCCTAAGTTATAATAGACATAGGTTGGAGGTAGCTGTCATGGCTCAAGCCAAATCCAAACACAACTGGCTCTGCTGCCCAGCAGGGTTTTACCTTTGCAGACCTGCCCAGCATTCTACACAGGATGCTTCCAAAAGGTCTTAAGATCATGACTTGACCACTGCTCTCCCACCCTCGCTCCTTTTAAAATCAAGCCTGAAGTTCCCCAGAATGATTCATGAAAGATCATAATAAAAGCATCACACAGCTTTTGCCTCTAAATTAGAATAATTCTAGTGCCAGAAATGCAATTTGACAAATAAATAACAGAAGAAAACCAGAACAAATACAATTGGATATTTAAATTATACGTACATTTGCACAAATTAACCAGGAGTAATCAGAGTGCCCTCTTTTAAAAGTTGTCTGCCATCTTAAAAAAAAAAGGAAAGGAATATGTTTACTTTTTGTTAAAAGTAAATAGTGTCACAGTGACTGAGCTGGATAAACTGGCAGATGCTTCAAGAGATATTCCAGACTAGAGAGTTCTCCTATGTTGGCAGTTTCCTGGGTCTAATTTGCCTAAACAAGTGAACCAGGGTTTGCTAAATTTACTTTCTACCATTATATCTCCAGCTAACATTATGTCATCCATCAAAAAGAAAACAAACTTGATTGTGCTGCTTTCTAATTAGCAACTGAAGCCAAGGGAAGAGTAGGCCATCCACCTGATGAGACCGTGGAAATGGTAATTAATGAAAGCACTGTCAAAATTACAAGAGAGGCAGCACAGTAGGTACCATTCAGCTAGGGATTATGGGTTTTTGAGCCCAGACAGTCATTGTTTATTCCTGTTTGCCAGATATTAACAGTAATGCACTTAAATAAGAGTATAAACATTATTCTCTTCTACCACATTACCAGCTAACTACTGTATCTGAATAGAGCCTGATACTTCCCTATTTGATTTATTTATTTATTTGTTTGTTTGTTTATTTAATCTGTTTATATCTCGCCCTACCCCACAAGCGGGCTCAGGGCGGCTTACAATATTGATAAGACAATAAATAATTTGACAATAAATAATAATTCATTAAAACCTCAACAATTCCAGTTGAAAATTTCTGATGGCTGCATAACAATTACTAACTATTGTGCCTGCTGCAATAAGGTCAGGGAGG